TGTTCCCCATTTCACTTCCGTATTACTTAAGTGCCAATAGGGAAGCTATTGAGACCACAGGAGAGGCAATCCTGTTCTCTGTTCCTTTGTACTCAGCATCAGAACAGTGCAATTGCTGGGAAAGTCTTAAGTCTTTGACTAGAGCATATTCAGTAGAGATGGAAGCTTCAAAAAATATAGTTGCAGCTTCCAGCAAACATTTACTGGGCATGTGCAAATAGTAATTTTAAAATTTCTAGTCCATGCTCCAAAGCATGGAGACATAGGATCTTCTCAACCAAATGGTCATCACAACTTGAAATCCATTGGTAAAAAAGTACTGTTTTTCTCTAACCTCATTCCTGGAAGTTGAACTGTTTGCTGAAAAACTCAAAAGAAACAGTTTCAGCTGAAGGCAGATATCTGGTATGGAAATTGCAGTTCTAACAGCAAAAGTCTGGCAACTTTGTAAGTGGGGATCCTGGTTTTCTCTGTTTAAAATCCCAAATTCTCTGATAAAAACCACCAGTTTCTCTGATTTTAAAACCCCAAATCCATGTTTTTTCACAGTTGAAGTGAAACTCCACTAATTTACACACGCGCGCACACACACACACACACACACACGTGCATGGCTAGTATGTAGTAGTTATGAAAATGTAGCGCATCCTATTTTGGTTGGGAAGCACTTAATACGTACATGGGCCAGGTGATCATCTGTATACCTGTGAAACTATCTGCATGGAATGTTTGAAAGCTACTTCTGTGCTTACCATTGTTGGCCTGAAAAGCCATTACTATTTATTTATTACCTCTTGGATTTTATTTCTGAGCATTGGAACTTCAGTGCATAAAAACAGCTCCCACAGTATCTCATAATGGGTAGAAGGGCTAATTAAATGACCAAGCATTCATCTTGCTCATTATGTCCTGCCAAATGACTCTAGAAGGAGACATGGAAGAAGTTGTTGACGTCTTTTTTTAGGGGACTCAGAAGACATTTCTATCTGATGTTGCTAACAAGGACTTCAACATCACATGCTATTTTTTCATTTAGCAAAACAGTGTTACAAACCTAAGAAATTATAATATATATTAAAGTGTTGGCTTCTTATAAAGATCAGTATAGCATACATACTAGTATTTGTGTGTTATGTTTAATTGCATAAATCTCCTCTGAAGTCACCTTTGATATATAGGATACCATCGGTATATTTTCTGATCAGTTGTGACTAAATTGAGAGTATGTTTATATCGAAGTATAAATTACTTATAAATTCTATTTCTTTGTGTTTAGATATTGTTTTATATCTGACAATTTATCAGGTGGTTTTCTTGAAATGTCCATGCTTATTAAATTTTGGATTATGTATTTCGATTGAGCTAGAGACTTAAAAATGTTTCCATAAGTATGGCTGCAGGTAAACAACCAATTTTAGTCCAGAAAATAGCTTTTGCTTCTGTCAACATGTTGTTTATTTTCTCCCCGAGATAAAAAGTTCAGTTTTCTGATATTTGTACCAAGATAAAGTCAGTAAACAAGATTAATATAGTGTGGAAAAGGTTGTCAGCATCCCTGGCAAAGGAAATAAGTTGCCTGTACACAGAACATACTGTAAACTGAATAAAAGTGTCAGGTCCACCATGAGATAATGTGATCATGAACCTCTAACAAAGCATGACATAGGCACAGTCGGCTTTTCTTATAGCCACAGTGTAGAAAATGGATTACTATATTCCTGGGATACCCACTGGAATAGCATGAAAACCTCATTTTGAGATTAATGCAGGATGTAACTCTCTAGAGCCAAGCCACATGTTTACCTATAGTGTTCAAGCTACAGCTTGTTTATTACTATTCTACTCAGGATGTTACATGCAAATTTAAAAGTTTTTTTATTCCAGAGTACATCTTTATGAATTTATATCTGTTGGTCAATCTATAAGATGAATACGCGAAAAGCTCTCTTGAAAGCTTTCACTGAAATTTCTTTATTACTGAATGAATAAGCAAAACTACCTTTGCTCTAGTAAAACCAAGATAATTTCAAATGTCTAGGTCTATGGAAGCTCTCTGTTGCCGACTGCATGGACAGGTTTCCCTCACCAACCACTGGGGTTAGGTTCCTGGAAGTTCCCATGGTTGGCAAAATCATGGTTGGCAAGACAAAAAGCCTTATGGGAAAAAGGCAGGAGGTGGGCTGACGGCCACAGAAAGCCATGGTTACTCAGAACTGTATACCGTGGTAGCCAAAATGGTATATAGAATATTAAGTGTAGATACTCAAAACCATGATTGGCAAAACCATGGTTTGTGAGGGAATACCTGTACTGGGGTGTAGACAGGGGCCACGAACAGGTGTTCATTTCTAGTGGTAGAAATTTCTGGTGCTATAAATGTTTCCAGGAGAGGGAGCAGCACAGGCATTCAGTCTACACCCACCCCCTCCCCTGCCTTCCCAAAGCTGAGTGATCCCAACCTGGGGGAAGTGTGGGAAGCAACAGCTGCTCCATTCTGCCCATTTCTGTAAGGGCAAGTGGAGCAGCAGTGAAAAACTTCCCACATTTTCCCATATAAGGGACACCCATGTCTGGGGAATGGGCTCCACTCCCCTCCCATACACTGCTAAAGAGGGGATTAGAGCAACAAACAAAATCCCCTTCATGTTCCTCAGAGCAGTGGCCAGGAGATGAGTGGAGGGAGCAACAGGCAACACTGTCTCAGACCAGGGCCTCAGTCTGGGAAGCAGTAGGGGGCTTTGCACTAGTACTCCTGTCCCTGCTGGAATGGTCTATGGGAGAGGTGGGGACAGACTCCCCACCCCCTCCGCAGATGTGGATATGCCCTCAGTCTTAGGAAATGTGAACACTAGTTGGGACTACATGGGACTAGTCCAGGATGGGGAAAGGAGCAGTGGGATGATGCCTTGGCTATTTGCCGTCCCCTCCTTCCCTCTCTCCACCGGCAGTCCCTGATCTGGAGAAGCACAGGCAGCAGTATCCCACAGTTTCACCCCACCATGCTTCTCCCTCTTCCCCTCCCACCCGACCAGACTGGGACAGGAATGTTAAGGCATTCATTCTTCTGAGTTTCTCTTGCATGGAAGATCTTCCAGGTTCACACTTGGAAGATATTTGTACCAAGATAAAGTCAGTAAACAAGGTTAATATAGTGTGGAAAAGGGGAGGGTTTATTTTCCCCAGGAGAAATTGACTGAATGCTTGTACACTCGTAGTCTCCATCAGGAGAATAATGGGTGCCTATACATGTGCTCTGACACATTCTGATTAATCTCGATTAATTGAGTCTCCTGGAGTGTTCTAATCAGAACGCTCCAGCATGCTGCAGTGTCTCATGTATTCAGCATCCCATATTTTAATATGGCAGCAGGGGCACTTTAACTAGAGCTCATCGAATGAGCTTTAGTTAAAGCACTCCCACCACTATTTTGAAACATGGGACACTGAATGCACAAGACGCTGTGAGCATTTTAATTAGAACAGCTCCCAAGAGCCACTCTTATTAAAATGTGCCCTTCCTACCCCAGAGCACATGTATAGGCACCTAATGATTCTCTTAGAAATATAATGCCTGTATGTGGCCAGGATTTTCTCAAGGCAGCAGGTTACACATTTTTTGTAACTTCTACTTTCCAAGCAGTAGGTATGGCTACAATTTTTCTGTAGTGAGTTTTGATAGTTGTTCTGAATCATCACTGCCCAGTAAAATGGGCATTGCTGAACTAGATCTTAACATGCTTTGGTTCTCTTTCTGCCTAAAAGTAGGGGAAACTTGCTTTAAAACCACAAACAAACAAACAGTAATTTGTTGCTGTTGAAAATGCAATGAATCATTCTTCTAATGAGTGATGGCCTGTCAAATGTGGATAAACAGAGAACCCTTATGTAAAAATAACCTAAAACCCAGTGGTCCCAGACAATATGTGCATATCAGCTGTTTATCTCTTTGGCTTCCCGGTCTCCTTCAGCATTGACAGCCTGGCTGCCTTAGCCCTATCACTGGTCAGCTGTTGATCCCCTGGGGCTTCAGAGTTTTTTATGAGGACTTGTTGCTCTTTACTCCAATATTTTTAGCATATATGCATCTTCAGCAGGTGATCCCTAACTCCATCCCATATATATGTGATCAAGCAAGTTCTAGCAAACAAATCCTGCGGATGAAGAAGGCTACTTCAGCTGTAGTATGATATAACCCCATAAAGATGTATTTTCCTCATGTTTACCCTGTCCCACATGAAGGAGTATGAAAGAGAATTATATAACTGATTAAAAAGTTAAACATTTTGTTTCTTTTATATTATGGCAAATGATAAGGAATATGATTACAGTTATAAAAGTCAGAATTTTTTGTGTCTTTCATTTTTCATCCTGTGTTATTTTCGTAAGCACTTTGCTCCATCTTGCAGGCTACACCTTAGATTTTCAAAGGAGCCTAAGGCCCTTTTTGAAAATCCCAAATGAGTTTCAATTTTGATATACTGTTTTAAATTAATTAATGGTATTTTCTCTAAATTTAATACCTTGAGCATTCTGGATGAGATTTTCAAAAGCATCTAAGCATCACATTTTCAAAGGTGCCTGTGAATTTGTGTTTTGTGGAATTTTCAAAATCACTTAGCAGATAGACATCTATCTGACTGCTATTGAAATGCAATGAGAATAATTACCTAGATGAAGTCCATAAATACAGTAATGCGCTTATCTGAATCTTTAGCCACCTCAGAACCTTTAAAAATTTGACCCAAAGGTTTCCAAATCTTACAGATCCTTGGTGAGACTATGGCTCCTAAGTACCTGTCACCTTTCAAAAGTAGAATCCTTCTCACTGACACACTTTTGAAAATTTTACCCAAGAGTTAGAAAACAAAAATATTTTTGGTGGTACATATTATACTTGGTATATCTTTTTTTATGCTGGCAAATAAAAAAAAATAGTGTCATTGCTGGAAAATATTGTGTGCATGTAATACCACTCTAACTCAGACCATTTTTCCCCATAGATTACTGCTCCAGGCCCAGGCAGTAACAAAAAAGCGGTGCATTTGTCCCAGGATTCTCATCACCATGAGTGAGTACCAGCAGTGGAAATTGTCATTGTTTTTAATGTGTTTGTATTACCATAGGGCTTGGGCTAGGGACAGAAATTACACACAAACCAGTAGAAGTGATCAGAAGTCAGTTCAAATCTGAAACACAGCAGAAGTTCAGTGCACGTAAACTGCTTTCAAAATGGCCAAAACCAGTTTAAGATGAACCTGGGTGGATGCAGTCTCAGACTTAACTGATTTGGATTAAATTGATTTATTGAACTTCTGTCCCAGATCCCCTCCAGGTTCAAGTTAGCTCACAGTCCCCCAGCATCCCGAGATGTTTTGCACTTCCCCTGCAAAATCCCCTCTTGCAGGATGGCTGAGCTAACCTGGGCCTAAGCTGTCTGCTCCAGCTGAGCTGGGAGCTGTGCTCTAGAGTCCCCCCAGATCTACCCTGTGAAGATTTGAATTGATTCAGCCTTGGGCTTTTTGACTGCCTGTACTTAGCCATCATGTCCAAGATAATTACATTTTTGTAAAGAAGCATACTAGGTTCAGCACTGCCTAAGTGCTTTGCAAAAAGAGAATCAAATACTTTCTGTTGTTTTGTTTTGTATTTCTTTTGGTTTGGGGTTTTTTTGATATAATAAATACCCTGTGGAGACTCATGTCCTCAAAAGATCACAAAACCAAAGACCTGAATTGAGGACATTCTGACAGGGAATATCTTCTGATTCCTTTAGATATTCCAGCATATCATTAATATTTTCTCTATTTTCAGCTCAAAACATGATATATGTTTATAGAGCTCAATCCAACCAATGTGGCAGACTTTCATTTGTTATTTAAATAGGCTGAACTATTCCGACCTTCCCCCAAAATCCACTGCCATATTTAAAGAAGCAGAACCCAATACCAGGCACCTGATTTCCTCTCTTGTTCTTCCCAGTACAGATATTGCCCCTTCCACCCTGGAGAAGGTGTTAGGTCCATATGTAACGCAAACTGCAGGGAAATTGTAAACATGCTGCTGCAATCTCAGACGGGTCTATCATAATTGCTGCTGGTTATGCTGAAGGAAGGCACCATGTTACCTCCTCTCGTATCCCACTTTCTGGACCAATGCCTTGTCTTTGTAAAGGAAAATATTATGAGTGGTGTGAAATGGTGTGGCAGCCTTGAGGTGCAAGTTTATGTTTGCGTGCTGTTTGAGTTACAACTCAAACCCTGGCCTCGACTGGTGAAATGCTAATGTGTTAACATTTACCAGTTAGCTCACAGCAGTTAGATGGCTTTTCAGCTATAATTAAAAACTGCTTATGCTTCAGTAAAAAGGATTGTATTTTGTTTTGGTTAATAGGGTGCATTGTAATATACACAATTTAAGACAAGCAGAATCTTAACATTTATGCATTACTAAATTGAATTAATAGAACATAATTAAATGTAAAGTTAATGAGTGCCTGGTTTTCCTAAGAAGTGAATTTGCAAAGCTAGATGCATTCTTGCATTCCTATCAAAACTGTTACAGACTTTGAGAGTTCCATAAAATATCCCATTAAAATAAAGCATAGCCAAAGGCTGTATTTTCCTGGCAGACAATGAAATGCCCAAAAGCACGCACAAACTGGTCATATGACAGCACGTGCTTTAGTTATATTGTTAAACCCTTCTTTTCTCTTTCTCCCACAGCCATTGGTTTAGCCCTGGGGCTAGGAAGGAACATAGCCAGGTAAGAACCACTTTGATCAAAAAACAGTTTACTTCATATATAAGAAGGAATTTAACTGTCTCTCCTCCAGAGCTCTTGGGTCAGTATTTGAAGTCATGAAAAGCACAGCAGCCTAAATAAGATCATGTTTCCTTTAGTAAGTAAACTTAAGAGATGACCATTTCAACCAGTCTTTTGGTTAATAAGCTGACATGTCACATTATGCTAGATAAGCATCAGAGTTCAATTTCACTACTGACTTCAATGTTTAGAATATTTTATCCTACAACTAGTTTCTCATTAACAGTGGTACCTATGTTTCTCTTTCAACGTGGTTTCTACTTCTATAACATAGGGAATACTTTACTTTTTCATGAAATTAAAAAAATATACAACTATTAGAACTGAGATTTGCCCTTACTATTCACCAGGAAAAGGGGCTAAACCAACATAAAGGGGTCATTAAACTCTGTATCAGGTGAGAAGTTTCCAGCGGCAGGAATTACAGAAGAAAGGCATAATGTTATGTCAGGGACTCCCTTAAAACCTGCTGTGTAGGGCACATTGATATTTGAACAGTAAAGCATTGGTCAGACTTTGTAAAATATAATGGAATTGCAGAAACACACTGGTCACCCAGAATATATTATCCATTGTTTTTATCTTAAAATAAGTTTGTTTTCTAAATATAATAGCTGCTTACAAATACTCAGTAAAAAAAAACCCCAGAGTACATCAGTTATACATTAAGATGCTATAGTAAAGCTCAGTGGGACTTTCCTTAGGTGGCATAAATTGCTGTGACTCAGTTGATTTCACCAAATCTGTACCAATTACATACAAGCTTAAAGTTCTAGCAAGTAGGCTTTAAATATGGAAGCAATAAGTAATATTTTAAAAAACAGATATATTGGGGAAAATCTTCATATTTTAGGATGTTCTAACCTCTTGTAGCTCAGATAAAAAGTCAAAGTAAGAGGTCCTCCTGAGCTTAGTGGTTCATGGGGCTGGACATGGGCAATGGCACAGATGTTCTTACAGCCAGAAGCACACAGGGGAGTAAACTGAAGAACATTTGAACATAAGATTTAATGTTTCTCAAAAATCACTTTACTTCCTCAAGCCTTTCAGAATAACAAAAGAACTAAGCACAGTTTTTAGCTGTAAATTGTGAAAATACTAGGTGTTATTCTATGCTGGCAGAGACTTTCTTAACAAACAGGTAGCTTGCTGTGATTTGCATTTATCTCATGTCATTCTGAAACTTTATTCTTTGTAGAAGAGATGCAGTAAAGAAAAGGAAAAAAATGTGAGCACGCTTGTTTAGTTCAGCTGAAATAAACATAATAAAAGATTCCCATCAGCAAGGCTTCTTGCTGTTTGTCAAAGTTGTTACATTTACTAATTGTAATAAGTGACACTTGCTGAGCACCAGTAAAAATAAAATGAAAAGTATATTTGATATCCTGAAAACTAAGTATCGAAGTATTTGAAAAGTATATTTGATATCTTGATTACTAGGTATCAAATAACTTAGTAATTAATTTAACTTGAAACCTTTCACGTGTTTTGAAGGTCTTGAAATTCAGACTAGCCATACAGGTTTCAATGCTAAGTGATGTACCAGCAGGCACTATGCTGCTGAGCAACCAATAGGCAACCTGGCTGTAGGGTGAACAATGCCTATAACAGCAAATGAATTTGTATTTTCCCCCAAAAAACCAACCATGGTTTGTAGTTCTTTTTTTTAAATTACACCTTTGGGGTCATAAAATAATTATAAAAGATTATACTTCTAGAGATGATCTAGAGATCACGAAATTCATCATTTTTTAGCATGTACTTGCATCATTTTTAGCTTGAATTTTGTAGTCAATTTATTACCATTGCATGGGGAAAAAATGCTGGCAGTCCATAATGGGTCTAATCTTCAGGACCTGTAAAAGAAGGAGGGGAACGTTAATTTTAATATGCACCTGTATTATGAAAGCAACTTACCTTCTGAAAGGTCTAGAGCTATGGAGCACCATATTAAATAATTATAATTGTCGCTGCAATTCTACAATTAATATTTAGTTAAGATGTTTTGAGATTTAAAAAATCATAAAGTATCAAATAGGGCTCCTAGAATAGCAAATAGAGATGGAAGGGACCTTGAAAGGAAATATTAAAAACCTACTGATAAAGGTTTCACAACCTCCTTGGGTAACTTTTTCCACGGCTTAACTATCCTTACACTTAGAAAGATCTTCCTGATTGCTGAACTAAATCTTTCTTGTGGCAATTTTAGCCATTATTTCTTGTTCTGTCCCTAATGCAAAATAGTTTACAACTTTCCTCTTTGCCTGTTTGAAAACCTTATATATACCTGGAGACTCACCTTCTCAAATCCAAACAAACCCAATTTTTTCCAACTTTTCTCATGTTATGTTTTCCAGAAAATTGATTATTTTGTTGTTTTTTGTTGCTGTTCTGTGGACTTTCTCCAGTTCATCCATATCTTTCTTGAAGTGTAGTGCCCCACACCGGACACAGTATCATGTTCCCCCTGAGACCTTACCAGTGCTAGGTATAGTGGAAGGATTACTCCATGTGTCTTACTTACAATATGCTTAGTCATCCACCCCCTATTGCTTTTTTTTCTCAGTAACAATTAGACATTGTTGACTCATGCT